GGCGGACTTTGTACGATGCTTCTCTCTTTCTTTACTCTGACCGGATTGCTGGCGATCGTCGGAGCCTTTCACATCCCTGGCAGGGGCTTCGATCGGTTTATTTCCATCTGGCTGGAAAACCAGGCGCGTCTGCCCACATCCCTTGATGGCCTACCCCATTCGCTAACGTTGGTTACTCGACAGGATTTCGCCAAAGTCGTTAAAGATTCCCACATTGCTGATCTCAAGAAGGACGGGATTTTGCTCACCAATTACTACGCGCATACCCACCCCAGTCAGGCCAACTACATCGCAGCTCTTGCTGGAGACTACTTTGGCCTGAACCATGACGAACCGGTCCGACTGCCGTTGAACATATCGACCATCGTGGATCTTCTCGACTGGAGGGGTTTGTCATGGAAAGCGTACATGGAAGACATCCCTGGCCCAGGTTACTTGGCTGCTGCCAGCGATGGCCAAACAGGTGATGGAAAGTGGGACTATGTACGGAAACACAAGTTGGTTTGCCCAGGGTCCTGCTGGATCCGCCGATGCTAATATCGTATCAGCCCCTTCGTGTCATTTGACTCCATCAACCTGAACGGATCCCGCCTGCTCAATATCGAAGGGTTTGACGACTTCAAGACCGACTTCGAGAAGAAGAAGGTGCCTCAATGGGTATTCATGTCTCCCAACCAAATGAACGATGGCCACAATACGTCTCTGGAGTATGCCACAAAATGGGCACAGGATTTCCTGAAGCCAATGTTAGCCCCGGGCGCCTTCAAAGAGCGCACGCTCATCCAACTCACCTACGACGAGTCTGACGATCACGGAAAACCAAACAAGATTGCGTCACTACTCTTGGGCAGCGCACTCCCCCAAGACAGGAGAGGGACGGAAGACAAGACCTTCTATACACACTACTCAATGTTGTCAACAGTCCAGTTCAACTGGGAGACGCCAAATCTGGGCCGGTACGACGTTGGGGCCAATATCTTTCAGTTCGTGCAAGACCTCGGTAGCAGAGTGCTTGTACCGAACAAAGATCCACCCAATATGGCCTCCGTGAACAATTCGGAATCGTACTTTGGACCACTTAATAGGGATGCGAGCAAGTTCCGTCCCTACCCACCCCCGAATCTTGCTCTCAATGGCTCCAGTGGACTTCCAATTCTGGAGCACACTCGTCTACAATGGGTCTTCCACAACCAGCCGACTCCATACGACGGGAATGGTACTCTTTACGATGCCAATTCCCAACCTCAGTACATCCCGCAAGCCGTCCAATAGACTTGGTCGGATGCCAGGCCGAAGCTCATCCCACGGGCTCGCATATGGGATTGTCCAAGGAACGGCCGCAATATCATATGGGACGCACGCAAGGTTGAGACGTCTTGCCTGCTTCGAAAGAATTCGAGTCCGTCATCTTACACCCCCATGGGCGCTACCAACCAGATTAACGTCGCGAGAAAACAATCTTTCGATCCACGTTGATACAGCTCGATATCTCGAACATAAACGCACGATGTGCTCTGCGATTTGAGCTACTCGACCATCTGATAATGACAGACGTTCCCAGCTTATCATAAAGATGCTGGACGATCTCCCGAGGTCCATTAAAGAATCTTTGCGCGGGATACCCCAGACGGTCAGCGGATGGCTATTTTAGAGCAAGCCACCGGATGGTCCTCAAGCATAAAGTGCGGGAGTCGACCCCGATGAAATCAATGAAGTCGATGTCTGGGATGCACTTGGCGCATGTGGTACTCTCCAGAGATACCGAGCTGGCAGTCGGCGCTCTAGTGTCCCGGGTCGATGATGATGATGGGGAAGCAGATTTCGATTGTCGACAACTCAGAGTTTGGAAATGCTAGTCCGTTTGCGTCACGCCTTTCGGAGGCTGGTTGGCCGACGGTAGGCTTGAGACATCTTTCAAGCTTGGGAATGTGATTGTTTGTAACACCTCGACAGCCTCCGCCACAGTCCTGCTTTTCGGCGGTCCCATATTGCCCACGTTATACCATTTTGCCCATGTTACACAGCCGGGCTTGTCGCCAACGGCGTCATGGCCTGCGCCTCGCGGCATTTGAGCAGCAAATTTCAACGGCGAGACGAAAGGATGGCGGGCATATGTAGTCGCAATCAATCTATTCCATTTTACTATCGATCCAGATCGATCTGGCTTGTCGCCTTGCCTGAAGCGCGAGAAGAAGGCATTTCATTGTAGTCCGTACCTGCTCAGATGCCAGCTCGAAAGACCCGTCAGCGAACTGTGTCGACGGACCAGCCTCCGGAAGATGCGGAACGTCCGGCAAAGAGAATGTCTTGATCTCGGGGTCCGTCTTAAGATGGACTAAGCGCTGGTCAATCCGTAGCAATTTCGGTAGACGGGAGATGCACACTACCCGCAGCATCGCCCTTCTCATGAGTCGTCTATAATCCTGAGACGATCGATGGAGACATGGTCAGAGAACAACGGGAAGCGGGAATTGATTCGGCACAGAAGCGGAATCAGAACGGACGGACTCGCAAGAAGTGAGCCAACGGGAAAAGCTCCCGTGTCTTCATATGACTCAAGGTTATTTGAAGCGTCAAAACAGTAGCCTGATTTAGATGGATTCCTCATTTAGAAGATGCTTCTGAATCGTGGTAGTTCTTCTAGACGCAGGCCGAGCACAAGACTACCATCGTGAACTATGTTGACGTGCTCATTCAATCGTGCCTACTTTCTTAACATCCAAACTGATTCAGTCTACCCAATCGCGCCGACTCGCCCACCCATGCCAACAAAGTTCCACGCCAGCCACCCGCTGAGCCATCAATGATGCGACTTGCAGAGCATAATACCATCTTAGCGTTCTCCAGGTAGAGCCGTCCTCGCGCTTGCGTACTAGCGCCAGGAGTTGGAGGGAGCGGCGCATCACTAACAACACGAGGGAATCTAGTCCCTGATCCGTCGTGGAATGTCTATGGAATGAATATGCCGGGTTTTACGCACGAAATTTTACTTCCCTCCATATTGTTGAAGGCCGATTCTTGCGCCCGGTGGCTGCCATTGAGCCACCGCCAGACACGCCCAAATCCCCCGCTCTCGAAGCATTTCGACGTCACCACGGGAAACCCTCAAGGTGGTAGTCTAGTTTGAACCGTATGCTACGAGAAGTGCCGGGCCTGCAGATCCCCCGCAGGCAGAGAGACATGCATGTAGCCGTGGGGCGTGGATGTCGACACAGTTCTGGGAGAGACATTTCCTCCCCTCATCAAGAGATAGTTGACGATCACGCGTCGGCACAACCGAAGCACAAAAAGAAGCGTTACCCGCAACGGGCATGCTGCTATTTGACTTGCTGACGGGCACTTTTGGCACGTTGGAAGCCGTCTCTGTACCACTGTTTCGTATCCAGCTTGCCATCGTGTAACAAAAGCCTCCCGTTGGACTCAAAAAGGGAAGCCAATTACCCAATATACCAACTATTGGCGGGTGCCGCTTGAACATCCCGACAGACTGCGCGATGCTCGATCAGATGTCAGTGCCGTGTCCACTCTTGCGCTAGCAATCTCGCCTGGCGTTGCGCTGGTGTCTGGTTCTCCCGTGCTAGATGCATCTGAAAGTCTGAGAATGATGGCCGATGCCAGTCTGCCTGGCTTGGCCGTGGGATCTCCTTTGGCCGAGACTCTTGTATCCCTGCATGGATCGACGCTGCATTTTGATTACATACACCATCCCGAGGCACGGACATACACTCAAGGCCTTCTCAATTGCCGCGATTGTTCATCCTTTGTTCCTTCGGGTGGGGAGGCACGGGAGGGCATTGCACAAAGAAGATTAGGAAGCTTTTCGCAAGTGGGAGTGGGGATATAGGTAAGGCTCATGATTCAAGGCACCGCGTTTTCTTCTCTAGCCTCATGGTGTTGTCCGTGTTGTGCTGAGGTTTCTCCGCAAATTCGATGAAACTTAGCAAGCCTGCCGTGCAAAAAGGCAAACATGATCAGTACAGCCACAGAGCACAATGACTTGGGCTCTCTTCAGGTCGGCGAGCATCATTACTTTTTGGAGTGGCTTTTAGAGAGATGGGGGGGGGGGGGGGGGGGGTAGTCTCATCCCACCGGCTGGCTTTTCATCTTTGCGGCAAGCTCATGTTCCTGATCCTGCTCCTCCACGGCAAGACCATGATGGCGATGGGTGGAAAGCCCCCGAGAGTCCCAGAGGAGCATTCCTGACCTCCGGTACTACGGGACCTGCACAAAACCGTCGCGCCCGGAACAACCTCAAGCAAATCACCACCAAACGCATGGACGCAGGACCCACTGCCACGAGGTCCGATTGTCTCTCCCGTCGATCCCTGGCTCCGCAACCACAGACTGGGCTCATCGACCAGTTACACCCGCACGAAAAAGGGTATCACAGACTTTTCCCTGAAGGTTCGACGGGAAGAGACCCCTGATCCATGACACAGCTGTATCTTTCCAGTTCCTCCATGCGCGTGTGAAGGCTTCATCTGCGTAAGGATGCTGGGGGGTTCTTAGAATGGGTTGTTGGAGAACGGCTTCGCGGAGCCAAGTAAAGTAGGCTGGCTATCTATGTAGGTACTGGTTTTGTTACTGACTCTCGAACCCGTTACCCGTACCCTCCTCCCCGGCCGGACTGTCTTGGTTTACCTAGATGGGCTTACTTCACTAGGAGTTAATAGGCCACGAACTAACCAGCACACTAAGACCGGATGTGCCCAACTCACCTTAGAGTTTGCCCTTGTCATTGGCTTTTCTTTCCCGGCAGCTTCCCCTGAAGAAGTGGTGCCTGCTCGGGCGGCAGCCCATGCATCCGCTGCCTTATATCGTAGATGTCCTTCCCACGTTGGCCGGCCGGCAATCGTCCTAGTTGATATGACAAACGTCTGTGGTTGTCCGTCAAACCATTTGAGGCAGATTCGTCCTGGTCACGACGATCACTTTTCTGTCTCTTTCCGTCTTTCCCTTCTCTACCGCCCTCTCGGACACCATCACCAGCATCATTCGCCATGAGACATTCATTACTGCTCGGCGTCGCAGTCGCCTTCCTTGGTGCTGTGCAAGGTTCTCTGTTGGAGTTCGCGGCCAAGTTGCCCCCATGTGGGGTGGGTTTTCCCCCTTCCATTGCTCAGATTTATGAGACCTGGCTGACATCATTCCCATCATCTAGCTGGAGTGTACACTCGAAAAGTTACCACTATCGGCGTGTAAGGTTGCGACAAACGATACTTGCATATGCAGTGATTACGACCTGCGGATGAGCGTGCAAACATGTCTCCTCCAGCGGTGCAAGAAGCTGGAAGCCATAGGTAAGGCTTTCCTATCAACTAATCGCAGATGCAGAAGATGAACTGACAGCAAACACAGAAGTTGCAAGGATAGAAGCTGAAGCATGCCAACGTCCGGTTCGTGAGCGAAAGGTGGACATCATGGTACCACTCATCCTTCAGATTACCGGGATACTTGTGGTCCCGTTACGGTTATACGCGAGGTGGACGACGATGCATCGATTCGAGGCCGACGACTGGATCATGATGTTTTGCGGCGTACGTTGCATCGATCATAAATATTGAGTGGGCATATTCTGACAGACTATAGGCTATGTTTGTCGTTTTTGTCGTCCTCGGACAGCTTGGTAAGTCTAGCATTTGTTCGATCCTATGGTCCTTACTAACAGCCACACAGCCGGTCACGTTGCCTTTGGAGAAGACGTCTGGATGGTCGAGCCAGATGAACTCACCTTAGGATTAAAGGTTAGAGGGAAAATCACACACGAATGATACATCAGATACTAACCTTTGCAGCTCTTCTTCATCGACGAAAGCATGTACCTCGCCTGCCTAGGCCTAACCAAGATCTCAGTACTCTTCTTCTACCTCAGGATCTTTCCGAACAAGTCCTTCCGATGGGCAACGTACGCGACCATGACATTCATCATAATATCGACCACGGTGATTCTCTTCATGCAGATCTTCCAGTGCATCCCCTTGGATTTCAACTGGGTTGGCTGGAAAGGAGACTACGGTCCGCACCACTGTCTGAACATCAACACACTAGTTTTTGTGGCTGCCGGGCTGAGCATCAGCCACGACCTCATTATTCTCGCCTTGCCTCTCCCGCTGCTGTGGCACCTCAACACTTCGAAGCGCTCCAAGATAGGCATCCTGTTCATGTTCAGTCTCGGCATCTTCGTCCTCATCACCTCATGCATCCGGCTCCGCTACATCGTCTCGTTTACGCAATCACTCAACCCGACGTGGGACTTCACGGACCCCCTCATCTGGTCCGGTCTCGAGGCTTCCGTCTCCATGATTGTCGTGTGTCTCCCCGCGCTCCGGATTTTGCTGAAGCGCGGCTGGCCCAAGCTGTTCAGCACAATTGGCACCGCGGGGCCCCACTCAGCGCCAAAGAAAAGTTCCAACACGTCATCTCGGAAGGCGTACGCCATGAAGGCGGCCGAAGATGGCGATGGAGACGGAGAAGGAAACTACAACGCGATGAACGAAAGGGACGAAGAGATCGCCGACGCAGAGTACGCCGCGAGCGAAGCGAGGGCCGCGAGGAGGATGGCTGAGAAGAGGAGCAAGTTCTTCTCGTTTCGGTCGACGACCGTGGAACCGAACGAGAGCGAGATCGAGCTGGAGTTGGGCGACAAGATGCGGGGCGAGGTCAGGACGCAGATCCGGTGCCATGATGGGGAGTCTGCTTCGAGGGGGAGCTCTATCGAATCTGGGATTCATGTGAGGACGACGACAACTATCCACGACGCAAATGGGAAGACATTCTGAGACGTCAGATGGGATGGACGATTACGCATACACGAGCAGGTCTAGGGGATTCGCATTTTTTGCATTGTTTTCGCTCTGGAAACTACAGTACTTAGGAGACGGATGATACCATTGCATCGCAAGGCGTTGGATTTACTCAAGGGGGATTCTCTACAGGAAAACATGTATGGATATAGTGAAAAAAGTAATATCATGTTTAACTATCAGTATACCTGAATGGCTTCTAAGACGAGCAGGTTTTGATCGATTGTAACAAGATAGATGTCTCAAGGGCAACAAAATAAGGTGTATCGAGCGAAGACCGACTCGAATCCGACGATCAGACGACGATTTACTTGCCAAGAAAGGCGTTCGTTCATCCGGGGTCTCCCATAGTCCACAACTAGGGCTTGTTTTATCAATTCGACGTCTCTCTGAACACCGCGTGGGCCGCTGACAAGGATGAATCTGGCCTAAAGTACGTGTACATAAAATAGCTCATAACGTGCCCAAAGATTCTCGTCCCAACAATGGCCTGATTCCATCAAGGTTTCGTAAGAGGGGATGGGGATTGGTCGATACGTTAGGGAATGATCCGGCTCCACGTGCGATTTTTGGCCGTTCGGCGGAGTGACTTATGATCCGGGGGGGAAGGCGGGGAGAAAGATGCAGAGAAGAAGTTTGTTTATCATTGCCGTTGAACAAGCATGTTTTCTGCGTCTCATATGTCCTGTCATATGAGACGCCAGAGGTATCTTGAAGGGCTCGGCTCGGAGGGATGGGGTGGTGTGTCGTTGGGGAGCCCAGCTGATCTTACGGCACTGCAGACTGATCGTTGCGCAGTAACAGAGCAATTCTTGGTTTGAGAGCAGCTACACGACGATCACTGCAACATCACGAATTGAGGGGTCAACCGCTGAGATGAGCAAGTTTGGCTCAGCTTTGTGGCGCCTTTGTGACCATCTCTTCCCATGTTGGTCGGATACTTGGTGACTTTCCCTAGATTCGACAATGAAGTGATGTGAGTATAATGTTCATGATCTACGCAGATAGATGATCCGTAATGTCAATCAGAAAAGGGAGTGAGAGGTTGACCCCCTCACCTCGGGCCAACGCCGTTGCAATAATCCCAACGACTGTGAACTTTCTATTCTCAAGTCTCCACTGTTCGATGTGAATTAGGGCGAATCATCGATAGTCTTGATGAAATGAGGCTATTGAATGATCTTCGGTCCAGGAAAACGCATTTTAGTTGCGTGCAGGCGTGGACCGACTTTTCGTTGAGCCCCTCGGTCACAAGAATCTACTTGAGAGTATGGCTCGACAGTTGTGGCTAAGGTACCCTAGTCAAATCGTTGGTATGATAGTGACGGGTTGAGGCACCTTCTGATACTAGAAAGATCCCATAGTGATCATGCTAAGCCGCGGTCCTTTTTGATACCCCATTGATGCGCACAACAGAGCTCATAGAGTACGTCCAAGATGGGTGTTGCTACAGATCGCTTGTGTGCTTCTCGGCAGATTTCACCAAGGATATTTTCGTGCTCAATCAGGTTTCCCTGGAGAGTATCAGTGAATATAGCCGTACCAAGTCAAGCTCATGGGTGGAGGGGAAAGTGGAGGAGTCATACCTTATCAAAATCAACTTGCATGCTGGGTTCGATATTCTCATCGACTGGATTCATCTCTATAGCCTGTGTCATGGCACTTGACGGGATATTGTGGCCTGTAGCAGCAGCTACTGCGATTACTTCTTTCATGGCCGGTACGACCAAAGAGTTCATGGAAGCATCCGCCGTCCGTAGCTGGCTAGCGTTCACCCTCGTTAAAGCACAGATGGGGTTGAACGAAGCATTGTAGACGAGTTTGATCCACCGGTCGAAATCGACGTCTGGCTTATAGAGGCATGTCGTCTTACCTCCGGCACTATACATCTCAATGAAGCGTCTGGCGGCGTGTTGCTGTTCTTCCAGGTCGATGTTGGGGTTGCGAAAAGCGCCGATGTGGAGGAGATCGGGCTGCTTCTGTTCGACGACGCCTGGTAAATGCTCGTGCGCGTCGATGCGGCTTACTCCAGAGAGAACAATGGTTGTAGGGAAGCGACTGAAGAAGGGTAGTTGAATATTGATGCCGTTTTGGATGAGTACGATGACCGTCCGGCCTGGGACGACGGCTGGAGCGATGATGTCTGGCAGGCTTGGACCGGCGTCTGGGACGTTCTTGGTGCAGCAAACGACGTAGTCAAAAACGCTATCAGAGCCCGAGTTTGTTGATGCCGGGACGCTTTTCAAGACTAAGGGGATCGCGACTACCATGAGCGACATGGTGAGAAGAAAACCAGGTTAATGGAACTGACCTTCGGTAGGCCGCCAGCCTTCTTTGCCGCCGTGTTCGCAAGACTTCATCGTAAATCCGTTGCGCTTCACGACATCGAAGTTGGAGCGGAGGACTGCGGAGACCCGAGCCAATCCTCCGGCTTCGAGGTTGAGAGCGGCGATTGTGCCGATGCCTCCACATCCGACAAGGAGGACGCGCGCTTTGTCGGGTGTCATCTTGAAGACCGTGATCCTGCGTGTGCCTGAAGGCTGTTCCAAAGTTTCTTGAAAAGAATCTCTGAATGAATCATTCTCCTGGACGACCGCCAGGCAGTATCATCCCTGGCAGCAACGGCACATTCGAACGGGGTTAGATCCGGGACCGGACCGGCTTTTGGATGACTGTTACCCCGCACCCCACCATATAGACCCACAATCAGGCCCGGACCGGCTCCAAGGCGCTCGGCGGCTTCATCCGAAGCGCATGGGCTTCTTCTACATATCACTTCTCTCGTGACGGCAGTATGATCTTAGAAAGACATGCAGCCTGCTATGCTATGTACTATCGTTTCTTTACACTTGATTGAACACCTCCGCCATCGTGAAGCCTGCCGCAAGTGCAATCTTCCAAGGACCCAGGGGCTTTTCAGGCTATGTGACGACTATATTCATCACGAGTCGCCGTTGTTACTCTGATGCGAGTCCGGAGCGTTGCCTCTCAGCCTCTACTTGAGACAGTGATACCTTTCCGAGCGGTGAAGCCGGTGACGTGGCCCACACACTCGGAACACCATGCTTTCTTGAGGTTCCGAGAGCGAGGCACAAAATCGGTGTTCGTGTCTGAGTGCTGGCCTGAAACCTGTGAACGTGTTCAGTCCATTCCAGCGCCCCTGTCGTCAGCCATCCCACAAGACCAGATAGTTTGACAGCTGTCAGGGCGACGGCACCGCTTTCTTCTCTTTCTCTCGGTTCCAAGTTATCGGTCCAACCTTGACGTTGCATTGGGTCATCGCTGCTTCTTCAAAAGAAGAAAATCCTGAAGCCCAAGTCCGTGGGGGACCATGCACATTTACAGCTGACGCAAGGCGTAGAAGTGAACACCGAACCACATCTGCAAAGGACAAGGATCGCACAGACCATTTGCCGCAATTTTGTTGGTTCCTGGCCGTTGGTTACAATGTTTCTTCTTCCAACTCAACGACCAACCTCACAGGCCCCTTTTCCTAACACCTACGGTTATTCCCCCCGAGTCTCCCGCACTCACCCCAATTCTCTCGACCGGAGCATTTCGATTTCGCTTTCTAAGCTTCCTTGCAAACCTAGTGTGCGGTCTAGAATCCAGGAACCCGCAGAGGAACAAACCTTGGCCCATCGCAGCATTACCAATAAGCGCATCTACTCATCGGAACTCTCTTTTGAACCGCACGCCAAGTCCGTCTCCCACTTACCGGCACCCAATCAGGAATTCGAAGCAATGGCACGCCAGGGCAATGTAAAAACGGCCTCCTCAGGCTCGGCCGCGGCGATGGGCTCATCCTCCACGGATCCCACGTCCGCACCCTCCCCGCGCGACCGCATTATGACGCACATGAACCGCGACCACCAGCGCGAGCTCTCCCTTTACCTGCGCCACTACGCTGGCCTCAGCCGCTCCGCCGCCTCGTCGCCGTGGCTCAAGGACTGTACCTTCGAAGGCATGACCATCGCGGCTGGCGGGCTCGGCGGCAAGGAGTTCTTCATCGAATTCAAGCCGGCCCTCACGGCGTGGGAGGACGTGCGGCCCGCCGTCGTGGAGATGGCGCGCGCGTCGCAGCAGGCGCTGGGGTACAGCGACATCACCGTCGGGCACTTTGCGCCGCCGCAGGGCTTTGACGTGGTTGTGTTTGGGGCCGTTGCGTTCTACTTTGTCTGCTGGCTCACGCTTGGGTTTGTGCTGCCCGGCACGCCGATCTGGTCCTTCCTCCAGACCGCGTTCCCCGGCGGCCCAAGGTTCTATCGGTGGTTGGTCAAGGCCATATTTCTGCCCGTCTTGGGAATCCACCTGAGCGAGTGCTATTGGTTCCACCGCACGAGGCTTCACAGGCACGGCATCGAGTTTGGAACGGGCTTGTGGTGGACGTGGATCGGAAGTCTGTTCTTTGAGGGACTTCCTGGCTTCTGGAGGTTCGATGGCATTGTCGCGGCCAAGAGGCAGGAGAAGGAGAGCAAGAGCCACTGAGTTTCTTTGGAGAATCATATGGATCAGGCTTTTCTGAGGCGACGATAGATCCTCCGGATGCGATGAGAGAGCTTCATACGGCGCTCGACTCGCGAGATGATGAGAGCGGTCGACATAGCAAATCGGCATGACCGCTAGCAGTGTTCCGCGATCCGGATCCTCCCTCTTCAACGGTTGCGGTCAGCAGTAGATCCATGAGAATTGGCAGGGTGAGCGGTGGAAGAAGGACGTTCTATGTCGGATTCAGCTATCTCTATTGACGAGCGTAATGTTAATTGATGAGGAACCCCCAAAGACCCTTGGGTATTACGAAGCGAGAAATCATCGGAGAGGCATATATTTCCGGACACAATCTATTCCTTGTCAAGTTATCGTGTTTGCACAAACATGGCGGCTGTGAAGGTGTAAAGATGACGTGGAATTGCTTCTTGCTTTCCGATAAGATGGAATTGTTGAGTGGCACAGTTGGGACAAATTAACGATGATTGCTCAAGAGCTGATCTCATATTGAAACTCATGATGAATGATGAGATCGGATAAGGCACGTTGAGATTCAAGGGCCGAAATGAGAAGGACCGCACCGACGAGTGAGCTGTTTGCTCTTTCCACACCATTTCGCCCTCGCTTAGCATGGTAGACCCACTCTGGCCGGCACCAAGGTATGTACCTGAGGTTGCCTTCCCCGCGATTCCATCGTGGACCTCCCTTCCGTCCACCGTCCACATATTCGTTGCCGATGTCCTGTCGCCTTCAGCATCACTGCGCTCAAAAGCCTTGCACAATGCCACCGTATATGCGGACACCACGTCGATCAACGCTAGCTGATGCCATGTCGTCCGAATCCTAGAATGCACTACTTGCCGTCCTCCGAAGAGATGGCAGCGCCTTATTGAACGCCTCGGAAAGCCTTGCCGCCCAGCTGTCTTCTGATAGCCCCGCCGTGCACTTCTACGAGACAAACAACTCCATTTCTGGGCGTTGAAGAAGTTCTCTTGATAATATCTCACTTTCCTAATCGGACGTTTGTTGCGAGTTCTAGTGGTGGCTGCGGCAAATCTCTTCGCAAGATTAGCGACCTTCAACAATGCTACGCTTCCAAACCATCGGCCTGTTTGCCTCCAGCAACAAAGCATCCCCGGATCTGGCTTCACCTTCCTAATAGCAAACACCACTTACAAGCTGTCCAATCGCAACTTGTATGCATATATCTTGGCACTACCAAATATCTTCTCCACGATCGCCTGCAGACCGCGAACCGGGGCCTCGGCCTACAAGATCGACATGGTCGAGCTTTCGTGAACAGGGGTGTGACATACGATCAACTCTCGACTACGTACTGTCACTGTCAACACCACCATCATCGGGAACCTGTGCACAAATTTATTTCACCACTCCTTTCAGTATCGGCAGTTGAGCAAGTTCAAACATTGTCCGGCCAAACATCGAACAACCTCGATTTGCCGAGCAAAGCATTGCGCTGGAAGAGAGGGTCTGGACCGTCTGAGATCATCTTGCTCTCGGAAATCTGCGCTCATGCAATATCAAATCATCATCATCATCAGCGATCTGAACTGCCCATTCCAGCAGATGGAAGAGGCACAGTACAAACCGCAAGATTTCGAGGAGCAAACAAGACAAAGGAATGCATTGAACAGAAGATGATTCTCAGAGGTGTACCACACAGCTGGCCAAGTGTTGCCACTCTGTGCAAGACGCATCACAAATATGATGGTAACTTCAGTCTCCAGATGCTCGTAGTGACAATACATTCCAGGCCTTGACACGGTACGGGAACTTGCTGCCTCGCGTAGAGCATCCGAGCTTTGCAATCCGTCGCGGGGAACCCCGATCTCAAATTACCCTAACCTCACAACGGTGAGGGGCAACCGGCGTTAGCCTCAGAAGCTCTCTATAGTTTACAGGCGGAACCTTGAGAATTTGTCTTTGGCGGTTCCCTAGCGCAGCCGAGGCGCGCCAATACTGCAACGTCGAGTCTGCTGCTCTTCTACCACCAGACGGTCTAGGCGTCATCAAATCTGGCAAACTCGTCTAGGTATCTGGATCATCTTGACTGTTCTTACAGACTGTTCTCCTACCAGCAAACCAGGGCGCTAACAAGGCTTGCACCGTACCCGCGTCATTTCCTTCGCACCCATCAGACTCTGGAGACGAACGCGTGGCCATCATTTGAGAGGTGCGGTAATCTTGTCCAGCGGCACTCTCAGTCTGGTCTCTGAGAGGACATCGATTCTCACTGGCTGTAAACCATCTTATCCGTGCTTTACAGCCTTGTTGTGCCTTTCGTCTGTTCTCAAGTCGAACTCAATCCAATACTATAATGCAGTAGCATGACGCCTGTACGGAGTACCACTTCTAGATTTGAAGCAACGTACGTTATTCGAGGCTCGGTATCGGGACTCACGCTTGGTCCACGACCGCTTTCGCTACTCGAGCGCGGGACGCTCCGTCTCTGACTTTGCTGCGCCCTCACTCACTGCATTGACGTTGAGAAAGCCAAATGATATCGATGTCGGGCTAGCTCTTCCAACTACACAAACTGGCGTCGGCACGTTTGTCTTGCTGAATACGCTCAGCGCGGCAGCGGTTCATTCGAGGGAGGTGTAGCACTAGTCTCCAAGGCAAGGTGATCGTATCCCGTTTGCTGCAGTATTGCGCCATCAGCAAACCTACTCTTCGCGACGAATCCTCTCTTGGGAATGGTATGGAAGTTGGTTGTACAGGCTATGAAGGAACAACCAATCGACGCTGGCATCAATCAACTCGCGCTGCCAACTCACTGACCCGTGAGAAGGCCCAAAAGGCGGCATGGCAAGTCATGGCACTGCCGCGCCGACCTAGCGACCCCGCTCCACTAGCTTTCGGTTACCTTGTGCCCGCTAGGTTCATCGTTGCTTAGGACCCTCCGTGCATACGATGGAGTTGTCTCACTGTTCCGCAGACTGTCAGTCAGCCTCCAGGCAAGCTGGGCTTCTAAATGGTCTTCGAGGTGCATATGCGGCTGTCAATGTGCATTTGATGGCTGCAAGTATCTCAAAAGAAGACGAAAATTTTCTATATTGTGGGCTTCAAGGTTGGATTTGGGAGTTGCTAGAAGAATTGAGAGGGGCAAGCAAGGCTCCCTAATTCGGATAGTGTTGCGAACTTACCCACAACCCGACTAACCCCGGTCACCTCGATAGACTAGTCGACTTAATGTTACTGAGGCTCTATCGGAGGAATCCCACGAACTGGCCTGCCATCCGCACCTTTGCTCGGCCACGACGTCCGTATGGACAGGGTTCCCTGCAGCAAACAGGTGAGTGGCCGACGCGAGTCCCGCCCATCTTCTGGCAAGCGGGCTAGTTATCCGGGGTATCCTTCGTGATAATGGGACGATTGAGGAGGGCATCGCGCATTCTTGGGAGCGGCCCAAGGCAATCGGGGAGCTGGGGATCGTCCCCTCGGCAAGCATGGTCCACAATGGCTTCAGCAAAGTTCGTTGACATAAAGACGAGGTCAAGGTCCCCTCCTATTGCGAGCCCAGCAAGGCGATCCTCTTAATAGCGCCTATCCGCAGCTTCAGGCTCAGTCGCCTTCTTCTGCCACGCCCACCTCTCTTCACCTCATCTCAGGTCTCCTAGTCTATCGTTAGTTGAGCTCTCTCAACCTCAACATCACCATGAGAGCCCAAAGCATCATCAACAATGTCTTGAGGGCCGTGGCCACCGCCTCCAGTTTAGTTGCTGCCAAGCCGGTCCTCCCTCGCTGGACTGTTGGACAGTCGGTGACGACTTCCAGCGGCCCCGTTGCAGGACATGTTGCTGCTGGCGTCGAACAGGCAAGTATACATGCGTTGGACATAATGGGCCTCGACTAACAAAGAGATGTCTTAGGTATCCGAATATTTGGGCATTCCGTACGCTCAGCCGCCGGTTGGGCCCTTGCGCTTCCAGCCTCCAGTCAAGTTTACCGGTGCTTCTCCTATCAATGGCTCAGACTTTGTAAGCCTTCCCCGAAAACTTGGAAATATTACTTGAAAGGGTCAAAATTGATATCTCGTCAACGTTATACTGATGCATTTGAATAGGGACACCAATGCATGCAGCCGGCGAACGCTCCTACTAGTCTGGAAGCTATCTTGAAGCTCGGTATTCCCGCTTCGGCTGTTGAAGTGACCAAAGCGTTGGGTGACACGGGCTCTCAGAGCGAAGATTGCTTGACCTTGAATGTGTGGACCAAGCCACAAACCGGCGATTCGAAAAAGGCTGTCATGGTCTGGGTTCACGGGGGTGCTTTCACCACAGGTACGAGTGGCTTCGTCTGAACAAACCAAGAAAGCATGCACGGTGTACTGACTCGGGTTGCAGGAAGTTCCCGTATCCCAGCGTACAACGGAAAGTTCATTGCAGACCAGAATGACGTGGTAGTCGTGTCCATGAAGTGAGTAGTCAACGGAGGCTCGGGGAGCCAGGTATCGTCAATGCTAACTCGGGTCAACCTTGAAGCTACCGCCTCAACCTCTTCGGATTTCCAGGCAACCCGGTCACCGCCCCGAATCTTGGATTCCTCGACATTCGCCTGGCAATGGAATGGGTCCGCGATAATGTGGAGAAATTTGGCGGCGACGTCAACAGAATCACCATCTTTGGGCAATCTGCCGGGGGTTCCTTGGTCGACTACTACTCTTACGCATACGCGTCCGACCCCATCGCCAGCGGTTTCATCCCCATGAGTGGCACGGCTACTGGATTCGGTATCTTCACCAACCAAACTGTGAACGCGAAATGGTTCAACGTCACGTCAGCGGTCGGCTGCGGTAACAACTTGACCGACCCCAAGGTGGTCTCTGACTGCATGCTCAGCAAGCCCGCCACGGATCTTCTCACCGGCCTTTCTTCGCAAGATGCCGGTATCGCTTCCGCTGGAGGTCTCTCTTTTGCTCCTGTGGTAGACGATCGTCTTATTTTTGCCGACTACAGCATCCGCGACTCGGCCAACGCAGGGTATCTCATCGGCAACACTGAAAACGAGGCTGGGCTCTTCAAGATCGGAGCACCTGACCTCAATGAGACATATTGGTTCGGTTTCAACCTTGTCGCTTTCAGTTGTCCCGCTGCCAGAAGAGCCGCGCGGGCCGTCTCCGCGGGCCATCCGACATGGCGATACCGTTATTTCGGCGACTTCCCTAATCTTGCTCTTACAACGACGCCGCCCAGTGGAGCATGGCACGCATCCGAGGTTCGTCATACTTTCTTTTTCCGTCAATACTCTTGGCTTGAGACATATTAGCTGACATCGCTTAAATAGCTCCCCGTTCTCTTTGACACCGTGCCCCAGGCGGCAATCAACAGCACAGCGCAGGAGGTTGCCGTGGGCAAGTACATGCGTGATGCGTGGGCAGCCTTCGCGAAGGACCCAGTGTCTGGTCTTCTCAACTACAACTGCCATGGCACGTGGCCGAACTACCAGGCCGACGGTAACACTCTGAACCGAATTTCATTCCAAAACCAGACAGGTGCCGATTTGGCTCAGGGCGACGCTTATGACGGCTTCTGCGCGCAAGTAGGAGTCCCCGTTGCTTGAGGACTCTGAAAGACGCTCTCTACAGGAAGCACGAAAAGTAATGAACTCATATGAAGCCACAATTTCCCACCATTTACAAGATACCATTTTTAATATACCCAAAAATATTTTCTTCTCTCATGTATCGCATCAAATGACTCTAACTGAACCATGTTGCGCGTCCCATTGACCTCGCAAAGCCGCTTTCGGATTCCTGAGAAATCTCACCCTCACGCGTAAAGCATTGACGATACAGTGATGGGTTTGCAACCATAAGCAGTCTCCATTTACTCATCAAACTGTAGTTGGCTCTCGTAAATCTGATCTGGTTTTAAATTCCTCGAGCGATCTTCAAGATCCCGATAACCCGTCGCCAAGAGTGATATTTCAATTCGGACCTGCAGGGCGCCCTGGGATATGACGAGTTAGTGAACCCCGCTGGAAATGAGGCGGGCAGGGGCGGTGGTTAGGGGTAGCAACCACTGAAGGGGTACGTACATGCCCTGATTCCTGAGGACAAAAGGCCCAAAAAGCTGGCTGTGCACGCTCCAAACTCTAATTGGACTTCTTGTACGACTCCCGTGCCGAACATCGTCTCTTTTCTTATCCGTCTCAACTCCCATCCATCCTCTCTACAACCATCATCCCGGGTTTCCATCATCTTTGATTCCAAAAACAACTCCTCGAGGCATTTGAATTTGTTCAAAAGGCAAAATACGAATACCGAACCGAAGCCCCGGAAAGTCTCCCCGTTATCGGCAGAACAGGCAACGAGCCCGTGTTCCTCGCTACCGGCTCCTCTGCTCAGCCTGCTTGAATTGCTGCAACAATGCGGCCACCGGCTGCATCTTATCGCTCTCTTCAGCTGCCGAGTCGCTGCCGCTAGCCACCGCCTCTCACGTGTTCATCATGTCCGGTTCCCTGCCGACGAGGTACCTCGCCGACCTGACGCCGTCCGTTCGCTCCATCGACGGTTCGCAATGCAGTTAGCCCCTTCGACTGCAGTCCGTATGTCTCCGACGATCGTTGGCTCCTACGTTGCCGCAATTGAACCCCTCATTTGCCTGACGTGGCATGATTCCGACCATACCTTTCACCGGAAATGTTCGTGGTCGGGCGAGCGAGTTAAGGGGACGTGGAGGCAGTTGCAACGATCGGCCAATGCCGACTGATGTCGTCTTGGGTGACTTTGCCCGATCGAGTACCGTCAACGATTCCGGTGTTTTGAACTGTTCACCATCGGGTCAATTGAGGTGATTGACTGGGTGATTGTGAGTACTTACGGTGCTTCTCGTTCATGCCGTTAATAGCTGCTTCTCTCGTGCGTAGGAAGTCAACTGGGTTGGTTGGACACTGAACCAACAGCAAATCTATACTGAAGGAGCCATCCTCGACGGCCTAGGCGTCGCATTGATAATGGTTATCTTACACGGCTTCGAGTGAGGACCTCTTTCGCGCGCAATTGAGTAGTCTCAATCGTGTGCGAACCATCGGCGAGATTCTATGCGGACACGCATGCGCGACACTGCGTACTCCACCGTATGGGATAGAATGACGGGCAGCTCGCCAGTTCCACCCCAGATGATGAGATCTTGCGTCTCTCATGGTTTTCTGGGGCGTCCAATGGGCTTATCAAGCCACCATCTCCGCTCTGCATTTGTCATTGGACTCTGCAGAGTGAGGCGGCATCTCTTAAGACACGCGCCCCCTCTTCGACTACTCTCAAAGATGTTGTTCGCAAATGCGCGCACGACTACGAGCGTGGGGTCAAGGAGTGGGGTCGTGTAAGCAGCGCAGTCTGAGGGAGATATAACGACACCGAGTTGCCTTGAAGCCTGGTGTTGTTTTCGCTTGAACATCATCGAACAACGCCGATTCGCAACTGAGCACTTCATTCCTCACTTTCCAATTCACCTGTTCGTTCCAGGCAGCACACTTTCAACTTTGAGAAAAGAGCAGGATGTTCCAACCCCAGTGTTAGCGTGCACTACCTTACCCGTACGAGGAAATGCTCGCCGTCTCAAGACCAACCCCCTATACTAGACCTTCCTATCTGAACTCTTTTCATCGATACCACCGCAGATCATCGAAGAAGAAGTCCTTCGTCGATTTCACCTGCTTGCTTTCCCGGTTCAAGGCTTTCCACAATAGCCGGCCGGGCAACTTCTCACCGGACATGCCTAAGAAACACGAAACCCCTTCCTCCAAATCACCCAAGTCCTCAAGCACTCGAGCCGACTCAGACCTTGTAGTGAGACAAGTATCAGTGAGTCCTACCTCCTCTATTCCGCTGATTTGACGACCAGTTACTCACACAGTCAGGGAACACACAGCAACAGACTCTCTTCCCCAACTGAAGGCAGTGGGGGAGGAAGTGAGGCCCATAGCGCCTCTCAGAGGTAGTCCTTCCATTGTGACAGGCCTTGACCGGTATTGACGTCCATGAGCAGATCATCACCTTCATCATCCTCACCATCCGCCAGATCCGACCTAGTAGATCGGCCTGCTTGCACCACTGACTCGAGACCCGGTCGACATCGGACGAGTCCCGTACCACCCGCATTTATCGACAACTATCTGGCTTACCGCAAGAAAGCTTTCATCAACATCTTTATGGAGAAGGTTTGTGAATGGCTTGACGACAACGTCTATAACCTCGAAGAGGCCTATGAACAAGACGGGGACTGTCAGCGTGGCCAAAAAGCTTGCAGTTCAGGAGGTGTCAAGAGGCGTGCTGCTGAAGGGCACCTAGTAGCTGGCCAGAAACGGCAACTCAAGGGTCGTGATCGAGACGACGAAGGCTCTGACAATGACGAGAGCAACGAACAGAAGCCCAACAGGAAGCGCACAAAGACGGATGGGGATGACAATCGTCGAAAATTTGCGTGCCCTTTCTTCAAACACGATCCCATCAGATACAAGAGTCATCGAACCTGCGTTGGTCCTGGGTGGCATGAGATTCACCGGGTCAAGTAAGTGTGACACTCCGTCGGCCACCGAACACTTCCACTAACGCAATTAAAGGGAGCACCTCTACCGCAAACACCGTCTCTTCGCCTGCACCAGGTGTTTCGAAACCTTTAAGACCGCCAAGTCACTCCAGGATCACTCGAGGGCGCGTATAGCTTGCACTGTTCTAGACGAGAAGGATCGCAAGCCAGACCCAGGTGCAGGAATAGATCAAGAGACGGAGAAGCACCTCAGAGCGCGTAGGCAACCCGGTAAGCACGACGCAGACAAACAGGACGATGTCGGCAAGTGGTACGAATTATATTTTACCCTTTTTCCGGGGACGCGAGACATGGAAGACACTCCAAGTCCTTGTAAGTCTGAACCTCCAATTAGAATAGAAACTGAGATGTGAAAAGAGCTTAAGTAATTGACCTTGGCATCAGGGTATGACGCTGACTCCAGCTCGAAAGATTTGGAGTTATTTAAGTATCTGCGGCGTGAATTACCCCATATGATCCGGCGTGAGCTCGAAAGAGATCTCAATCGCTCATTTGAAGGCTACGGGGACGGTCTCATGAGCCGTCTCTCAGTCTGGATCCGGAACAGCTCGGCTAGATGTGTGCAGATCTTTGAGCACATACCATCACCTTCACAAGTGGCGGACCTAGATGATCCCGAGACTACGCAAGGATCTCGGGCGGTATCGCCGCAGGCGTCCCCCGATACCGACTTGCCCGCCGGTGCCGGTGCCGATGCCAGTTTCATCGGGAACGCTGGAGAGTGGGATTTGAGCGATCTCGATCTCGATATCCCCAGCATGCTAGACTTTGATTCGTTCATCACTCCTATGGATTTTCCACCGACAGACTACCAGTGCTACACAGAGGGAGACTCCGCCTACGGTACTGGCAGCGTTGAAGACGCTTCTGGAGCTCGGCAGAGTTGCATGTGAGAACAAGTGGAATACCTTGTTCTCAGCGGATGCTAGGTTCTCTTGGCACCTATACGTTGTCATTCCATCATCATGGTTATTGAGAGCTGTGGCACTTTGCCATAGCACAGCCAACTTCGAAATCATCGAATCTCGCTCTTTACCCACCAATCCTTTCCCGCCGTGTCTAATGGCCACGTCTATCTCTTTTGTGCTTGTTACTTTTATCATATTCTGGATAGTGTTGGAAATGTGTAGGAAGAGGTTGTACATTTACGATGGACTGGGTAGTTGGGTTCCTTGAATTAGTTAGGCTTCCATCGAGTTGCTAATTGTCCTCATCTCGAGCTATTATCCTTAGTATAGTGGTCTTCCAGACCAAATCCACTCTTTACCATCATTCGTCTTCACTCGTCTTGTGCTCTACGTGCGATGTATCTAAGGGAACCGGATGACGACTTTGTTCTCCAAGTGGTCACTGTAACGACGGTAATACTCCGGCGCATCCTCAATGCCGCTTTCAGCCGTCACCACAAAGCTCGGCTTAGCGACACCAGATGCGATCAAGTCCAGCAAAGGAGGTGCCCTCAGCAAAGACAAGACGATACCCCTTCCGACGGACAAGCCCTTCCTCCATAGCGATGCCATGGGGATAGGAATCTCCGCGGGTAGGGTCCCGGCATTGGGCGCTCCCTCGGTGCTGTTTCCGCCGCCGTTGTACACACCGCCGATACCCATGCCTCTGTACACGGAGGTCACGGCAACCATGTTCTCTAGCACAATGCCGTTGTGCGGATCTCCCGTGGCGTTGACGGATTCGAAGCCCACGCAGTCGAGGCTGCGCGTCACGCCAGCGGGCTCACGGCTGAGTATCGCTTCCACGGGGTCTTGTTGGGAAAAGTCGATGGGTATGGCGCCCAAAGATTCGGCTTGCTCAGGGCGGCTGGCGATGCGGTCGACGACGTAGACCCGAGAGGCGCCGCGAAGTTTGGCGGAGTAGACGGCTAGGAGGCCGACGGGCCCGGCGCCGAAGATGGCGACTGTGTCGCTGGGTTGGAAGCCTGAGTAGGAGAGGACGTGCCAGCCTGTTGTGAAGACATCTGTGATCATGAGGTAGTCTAGTTCAGATGTGGTGTTTGTTGAGGTTAGTGGGATTGGGGAGAGGGATGTGTCGGCGTGGGGCACCCTGGCGTACTCGGCTGGTACAGGACGGAAGATTGGGTCAACTTGGGTTGTCTCGTACTTCTGAGGACGACTATCCGTGCGGTCTTCGACGGATGAATCATACAGAAATAGGGGGAAAAAGGCTGGTATCTTCTGAGAGAGAACATACCTTGCACCGCCATAATTTGCGCTCCCAACGCCGAAGGATTAGGGGATGCGAAGGACCCCAGTGCCCGTTGTCGGCGTTGTCTGGGATGATGACATAGTCGCCAACCTCAAGACTCGAGACGGCGTCCCCGACGCTGGGGACGTAGCCGACGGCCTCGTGGCCGAAACCGTAGGGCACGTTGGGCGTGCCGCCGAAGCCGTGGTACATGTGTAGGTCGGAGCCGCAGATGGCGGAGGAGGTGATGCGGACGACGACGTCTATCTGGTTGGTGATGGCGGGGACGGGCATGTCGATTACGGAGACGTTGTAGGGTTGGCCGAACCAGGCTACGGCCCGCATTGTTGACATTATTGCGTTTGTTATGTTGAAGGCCATGTTGCTGGTTCAACTGAGGTGCTCGAGGGTGGACGGTGTAGCCTGACTGTATGCAATAGCAGAGAGAAGCTCCGATGAGAATGAATAATGGAGTCAGAGCAAGATAGTTTGCTGCTCCTTTCTTCAACAGAGCAGTCGAGGAGACAGAACGAGAAGTCATTTCTTATACTTTCTTGTTTCCATGGAGTCCGTCACTTCAGGATGATGCATACATGACATGATGATTCGTCTACATCAACATCTTTATGACGCTATCTCCATGGGTACCGTCATCACAGCGCCCCGTAGTGGGAATCTGTCTTCTCAGCCCAGCATGTCTTGCAAGTGCGGCAGAACCGTCATCATGCAAGAGCGGCCTGGTCCGGCTGCAGACAGGCGGTGATGACCGTACATACGAGCCGCGTATGCATGCAGATCAGTCGAGGCTATGATGCTATGGGATGCTTTGTTTGTCTAGCAAGTCCTCCTACTACTCGACTTTCTACTACCTGCTGTGATGAAGTTTTGTAGGGCTGAAGTTAAGATTACCTGCTAGCAAAATAAAAGTCCCGGTTACGCCCCTGTTAGTCGCTGACACGGGGTTAAGCATATCTCCTCAGGAACGGCAGTGCGCCGCTTACACCTGGCTGGAAGTCTTCTGTAGCCGCCAATGAGAATGAAAAGAAGCCGGGATGGACCCGGTCTGGATTGGCTGATCATGTACGGGCTTAAGGCTTTAGGAAGTCTTTCTAGTCTGTCATCAAGACTTATTACTTGTACCACTGGCGAAGTATGACGAGAGCCAAGCCGATACCTCATAGCAGGATCTATTTAGCACCCATTAGATGCGACTGAAAATCTTTAGCAGAGTTTTTAGACTTGCTTAGGCAATGTACGAATCTAGTCTAACTGTAATTTCCGCGTCGGTCTCGCCTTGATCTTTCCTGCGAAGTTCTAGATGACAGCGAACGGCACTCGGCCGGTGAACCTCTTGGTTCGGACGAGGGTATAGCTCTCTCAAGGAAGACTGTGAGGCCAAATTACTAATTAGGCAAGTGGTTTACATACAAGGAGATATACAGTCACAGTCGGACCGAAGCTCATCCCCCTTTGGATGTCCCACAGCAATGCAGTGACAACAATAGAATCATCTGCGCATATTTCGGGGATGCCGATTGTCCGTCCTTTCTTTGCATTTAAAGAGTCTATCGGTTCGAACTCTACCGTTAAATTTTCCCTCCCAACCACTCGAGTCTCTCCAATCATCAAAGAGCCCTTTCTTTCCTTTCACTGTCTGAGTTCCACCCCTCCCACTCTTTATCAACGTCATTTTTGTGTGGAAAGTCCTTCATCATGAAGCATGCCACCCTCTTTATAGGCCTCCTTTGCGGACTGGTGATTGCAAAACCTACCAAGTTCAACACCTGGTCTGTTGGCCAGGGAGTTTCCACCACCAGCGGTCGTGTCGTCGGCCACGCTGCCGAGGACGTCCCCGATGTTTCCGAGTATCTCGGGATTCCGTTTGCCGCTGCACCTGTAGGCGCTCTGCGTTTCCAGCCTCCTGTTCCCTACAATGGCTCTGCAGTCATCAATGGCTCAGCATTCGTAAGTCTAGTGACTCTCTCAGTCATTTTTGCCTACCTCAACTTGGGAACGTTGAGTGTCTAACGTGCCGCAAAACAGGGCCCTGGCTGTATGCAACCGTCTGCCACAGAGTACTCTCAAAGCGAGGACTGTTTGTCAGTCAATGTTTGGACCAAGCCGCAAGTGGGCGAGCGGAAGAAAGCCGTCCTTGTCTGGGTTCACGGAGGCGCTTACTCATATGGTTCGTGAAGTGTTTGAGTACCAAACAATGCAGGCATGGACTAACGCGAGTTGCAGGAAGCGCAAGAGAGGACGGATACAGCGGCCGTTTCTTCGCAAACGATTCGGATGTGGTTCTGATGTCTATCAAGTAAGAAACGCTACTATAGTTGTCGGGAACAAGGACTCACGATGCTACATGTAGTTACCGTCTTGGAATCTTTGGATTCCCAGGCAATCCCGCCACAACTGCGAACCTGGGATTGCTGGACATGCGACTTGCCATGGAATGGATTCGCGACAATGCCCAGAAGTTTGGCGGTGATCCTAGCAGGATCTCCGTATTCGGCCAGTCCGCCGGCGCCGGAATGGCAGACTTTTACGCCTACGCCTACGCTTCGGATCCCATTGCCAACGGCTTCGTCCTTCAAAGCGCCACCGTCGTTGGCTTCCCCGCTCTTAGCAGGAACTACACGTCGACGCGGTGGTTTAGACTCGCGGCGGCCGTCGGCTGCGGCACTGGCGTAAGCAATTCCACTAACCCCAAGCTCGTCACGAACTGCATGAAGAATCGGACCACCGAGCAAATCTTTGGCGCATTCGGGCCCGAGGAAACGGGCGTTGGCTCTACACCCGCTTTCGGGCCCGGCGTGGACGACGTCCTCGTCTTTGAGGATTACACCGATCGTCGAGCTGCCGAGGCTGGGTACCTGATTGGCGACAATGCCAACGAGGCGGGACTCTTCCGTTCGATGCAGCCGAACAGGTCAGACGCGTACTGGAATGACTTCAACTTTAGGTACTACACCTGCGGTGACGCCATCAGGATCAGCCAGGCTGTGAACGATGGGATGTCTGCCTGGAGGTACCGGTATTTCGGAGACTTTCCCAACCTGGCCATCTCTACCAACCCGCCCAGCGGAGCCTATCACGGCGCCGAAGTGAGTGTTTAACCATGCTGCCCTGGACTCGTACATCGTGAGGTTAACTATTGTCTTTCCTCTAGCTCCCACCTCTTTTCGGCACGCTGCCTCAGACGCCGCCCAGCACTGCAGTCGAGCTGGCGACTGCCGAGTTCCTTCGGGGGGCGTGGACGGCCTTTGCTAAAGATACTTCCTCTGGCTTGCTTGGCTACGCTGGCGGATGGCCGATTTATGATCCCGCTGAGCTGACCCTTGCTCAAATTGCGCGTGACAACCAGACGGGAACAAATTTGGGTCTCGGAAACTCGTTCGATGGGATTTGCTCATCTTTACCGGCGATTCCTCCTTCCTAGATTTGTTGGTACGGCGTCAAGGTGCTCTGCCAGTCCGACAGGCTTCTCATATCTGCCACTCTTACGTCAAGACTCTTGACATGTAGGCATGCAGTCTGATACTTATATTTACTTCGACAATGAGTTAAATCTGAGGCTTTCTGTGAACGGCTACATGTTATACGAAAGTAAAAGGTTACGCTTTCGGGGTATTTTAAGGCTAGAGAAAATGCAAACATTGTGTTGAGGAGGAATGTCGTGGGCGTCAGGCTGCATCCAATCTGCTTAAAATCAATCGATAATGACAGATATGAGAGGATGTTTTTGTGCATGATCCTGACGGTGTCTAGTCAACAACATGTCCCCAGCATAAGCCACACCCTTCTTGTTTATTCCGCTGGTAGAAGCAAAACGTTGGTCAAAGGGTAGATTACGGTAATTAGTGCTACTTTCGGTTACTTGCTAAAGGGCTATTGGCTAATTAGAACTGGCAAAGCTCTGACAGGACAGTTGATTTGTGACTACATTAATCCACATCACTAATTGCTATACAATGTATGCACGAACCACTATTACCATGCAAAAGTTCGGTATCATGGAGCAATGATGAATTTGTTGAGTACGCTCTGCGAGTCCCCATTGGTGAGCAGACGCTAAACCGTCGTCTTGATTCAACTGCAGACTTTAATGAGTATATCGCCTAGTAATCTGAGAGCATGAATTGGAATAATACGATGATGTCTTTAGAGGCTGGTGCTGTATTTCTTTCAACGCGAACATCTCGTTTTGTAAACCAATGCCATGTGATCATCAAGAGAAAATATAGCAACTCGATCTTAGACGATAAGATCTTCATCAAGACATGAAGTCCAGTGAAGAGAGACACATTCTCTCAGTACCACGAGGCTCTTGGACCCGGACTTTATAGGCTATATCTAGACCCTTCATGCGATTGTTATTGTCACGGTCGATCGCCATGCCAAATGTGTGAACGATCCTTGCTTTAAGTATCATCTACTTGGACGACACTCTTCACCTTCATGTTATCTATGAACGTGAGAAGCAACCGTTTGTTTACTTTCTTATTTGAGTCGGCATAAGGTCCGCCTTGCTTTCTCACAAATTACGACTGGACATCTTTTCTGGACCATACAACCCACGGTAAGGCAGGTAATGAGCAAATCAGAGAGACCAAGCCAGTGTCATTTGTTAATTCCTTCAACAAGCCTACTGTATCTAGGTACATCACTTAGATCTGTTAAGTCTTTTACGGAAGCTGCTGCGCTTCAGGGAGCAGAAAACACTGAGATTGATAATCTGAATCCCGTTACACCTGTCTTCTCTCTTCCTTCCTAGATGCCTTTCTCTTCTTTAGAAAAATACTGAGAGCCACAATGTACCTTGCATGCAAGGCTCAACGATGGCAGCGGACAAAAGGAACGTGGGATGTCAGCTGTGTTAAGGGTCAGCTGACAGGTTCTGACAAATCACTGGCATATATAAATCAATAAATGGAGACCGCAATTGAGCAAAACTATATTCCTGTTTGTTGTTGAAAAGCCAAACTGTGTTACTGTTTGCTATCGGGCCTGTCTTAATACCTCAACTAAGAGTCACATGCTGTAATTTACGCCTCCTTGGACAGTTTGCTTTCACCACCAACGTTACGACTTTGCCGTTGAAGCCGTCGTACACCTGGCGAACCGTTGGCGACTACCTAACTTGACCATGGAGAATCTACTCATTTTGATTCACGGCCAAATTTTTGAATATCTAGATCGCGTGAGCAGCCAACAGAAGCAGCTAGCAGCTTAGCATCGATTTGAAGATCGCCGAGGGGACGTTGGGCTGATCAGATCCCACCCAGCCTCCCAATAACACGTCGTCCTGGTGTATAGCCCCGCTTCGCGCGGCCTGCTCCGCTCCGCCACACCAC